TTTAGTGACAAAATGCTTTATGAAATATAAGTCAGAAGACACACAAATCTTTTTGTAAAGTTCAAACATAAGTAGAAGTCAATGTATTCTTTTGGCATATATATGGTAAGTGATCAAACTATTCTTTTAAGCAGGGGAAATTGGGATGATGAAAACATTCTGGAAATGTGTGGTGCTGATGGCTGCACAACATTGTCCATGTACTTAATGCTGCTCAATCGTGCACCGGAAAATTGCTAAATTGAGAAATTGTATGTTGTTTGCCACAAGTTTTAGAAAAGCAAGGGAAGGATAAACATAAAATTCAAGATATCAACAGTAACTAAACTATCATCAGAGTTCCAATTCTCGGCTGGGCAGTGGTTCACAGGTGTTTGTCACTTTATGGCCCGCTAGAGGGGGGGCAGGTGGGCACACAGGTGACTCTTCCTGTGCGATTATGTGGGATTATGACTCGTTCAATTCCACTGGTTGCAGGTCCATTTTTAAAAGGAAAGCTCTCTGGACCCCAATTTTGGGGGCAGAGATTTAATGGGGACCCCTAGGCAGGTGAGTGAAAGGCCGTAGGCGATTCTCTTAGCTATCAGCTGGGCGTCAGGCTGTCTGGTCCCTGGCGGGTTGTCGCTGGCGTGTCCAGAGGGAACACGCAGGCCCCTCCCCATGCCTCCACCCTCGGGGACCCCCCTCCCCTGCCGTCCCCCCATGTCAGTTTGCAAGGCGATGCTGGGCACGCTGTCTCTTGTCCCTCGGTGCCACACGGAGCCCAGCGGCACCCGGCCCGTCCACTCAAGGGGCAACGCGGGAGCAGTTGCCCGGCCGCTGCCGAACTCGGGTCCTGCAGCCCGCCCAGCTCCGGGCCTGTCCGGGCTCAGGCGGGAAAGAGGGGCTCGGCGCCCACCTGGACAGACCCTGACGGCCGCAGGAACCAGGTGCTGCGAGCTGGGCGGTCACCCTTTGTTCCTCTGCTGGCTGCCTCAGAGCCTTGAGGTGACACCCAGGGGGGTGGTGCGGAGGTCCCTGGAAGGCCTGGGCAGCGAGCGACTCCTGTCCCGGCTCTGACTGGCTGGTGCAGTTCCAGGGCCTCTTTGTCACCCAAACGAACGGCTGCTTTGGGAGTTAGCACAGGCCGTGACATAAGGAGTTCCTAAAGCAAATGTAGCGCGCTGCTCGCGGTTCCTGGTCAGCCCGACTCAAGACCCTCCCCAAAGAGCCTGGCTGCCGCAGACTCCTGGCAGCACAGCAAAACAAGTGCTCCAAGAAACCCTTGCTGATGCCTACTGTGTACTGACAAGTATTTGTGGAGGGCCTACTGTGGGCTTCAGCACCGAACAAAACAGGCAGAAATTAAAATAAATCCCTACCTTCAGGAAACTCACATTCTACTAAGGGACATTTAGGAAAAGAAAAATATGTGTATGTTAGATGATGAGACTTGTTAAAGAGAAAACCTAACTGGAAAAGGGGCAGGGGAGATCAGGGGGTGGGTGTAATTTTAAACGGAGGGTCAGGAAGGCCCCACTGAGAAGATGATATTGTGTAAAGGCCTGGACGATACAGAGGCTTGAACCAATTGATATCAGGAGAATGAGTGTCCCAGGCAGAGGGCAAAGCACGTGCAAAGGTCCTGAGGTAGCCTGTGCCTGGCATCGTTGAGAGCAAATGTGCCAGGGTCTGGGGGGTGGGGACAGAAGACATGAGGTTAGAGAGGCCCAGACCCTGCAGGGCCCTGTGGGCATGGTGAGGACCGTGCCCTGTACTCTGGGCAAGCTGGACCAGGGCTGGGGGGAGGACGGTGTCCTGAACAGAGAAGGTACAGAGTCACCAGTGAGGAGGCAAGCACACAGCAATCTAAAGGGGGACGATGGCTGCTTGGGCAAGTGTGGAGGCGGCGGAGGTGATGAGAAGCTTCTAGAAGCATATAGCTGGGGGAGACAATAGAATTTCCTCTTTACTGAAAAGTGGGAGCTGCTGAGCGCTTCTCGAGTGTTTGGGGGCCACGAAAGTTCGACCTGTCGCAGAGCCGAGCGTGGCCATCAAAGCCAACCCCCACCCCCAGCCTTCCAGGACTCCCGCCGTCACGGGGCGTCGAATGGGGAGGTTTTAGGTCTTCTCGGGCTGACCTGGAAAAACACCCGGACACGGCGTCAAGTGAAAGAAGGAAGATGCGGAAGAAAATGTATAGAACGACCCCGTTTTTGACAGTTAAAATCACGTAACGAAGAAAAATACGAACAGGAGCAAACGAACGGTCTGAGGGATCAGACCGGACTGTTTCCAGGGCTTGCCCAGGCTGAGAGCGCGGCCGCCGGGACCCGGGACCCAAGCCAGGACTGCCCTGGCTCCCGCGCGCATCTGTGGCTCTCTACACGCCGCCCCTTCCCGGACCCGGACCCGGCTGCGCTTCCCGGGCCAGCGCCCCCACCTGGGCCTCTTCCTTGGCCTCGCCTGCACGAGAGGCGGAACTTGGGGGTGAGGAAGATTTTCCCCGCGTGCTGGCCGGCTTGGGGGGACTGGAAAGGGCCCACCTGGCTCCTGCAGTTTCTAAAAATAAAACGTTGTCTAAACTTCCCTCCAGGTTTGGCTCAGCCGCTGCTTTGGCGCGTTCCAAGATGCCGTTTCTATGAGCCCGTCGTCGCTCCTGCACGTGAAGGGGAAGGTGGCGGGCGCGAGGCCGCGGCAGGGCGGATTACCAGGGACTCCAGAAACGCCCCGAGAACGCAGAGGCGGAGGACCGACAGGGAGCGCGTCCCAGGGCCACGGGGAGCGTGTCCCAGGGCCACGGTCACCAGGGAGCCGGGGCCAAACGCCACGGAGCAGACAATGCCTCTACCCCACCGAGCCTCGCAGCCACTTGGCTGCTGGTTGGTTTTAAGCAAGAGGAGGAAGTCGAAAAGGGGGTTGTGTCCAAGGCTCTGTGCCTGGGTCTGAATCCCTTAGAGTGAGGGCTGAGGGCTATCCATGGTGGGCTTTTTTTTTTGAGACAGTCTTGCTGTCTAGCCAGTCACCCAGGCTAGAATGCAGTGGTCTGATCATAGCTCACTATAGCCTCAAATACCTGGACTCAAGTGATCCTCCTGCCTCAGCCTCCTGAGTAGCTAGAACTATAGGTGGACAACACTGCGCCTGGCTAGCTTTTTTATTTTTGGAGAGATAGGATTCTGCTATGTTGCCCAGGCTGGTCTCGAACCCCTGGCCTCAAACCATCCTCCTGTATTAGCTTCCTAAATTACTGGAATTTTAGACATGAGCCACCATGCCTGGCCCATGACAGGATTTTTGAAACCCTAGGCACAAACATAAATGCTGTAAGGCCAGTGGTATGTGGGTAGAGGTTTAGCAATCAGCTCTCCAGGGAAGTATGTGCATGTGCAGGCATACAGGCACACACACATATATACACACACATCATCCATACACACACACGCATATAGACTTAGGTTTATTATAAATTGTATTGATGTAAAGGATATGCAGCACACAATTCACAATATAAATAAAATTTGCAATATTCTTTTTTTGTAAATATAATCAATTCATTTAAACATAACATTTTTGTTGACTTTTGCCTCCAATTCTTGTATCTATAATCAACCTCTGGTTACGATCAATGAAGAAGTGTAGTTCTTTAGAGAGAGTGTTTGATATTTTCCTTTACCTTAGAAAGCACAGCAAAAGTGAGACAATAAGGAGCATGTCAGAGCTTTATTTGCTCGTCAATGAAGCAAGCAACTTCCTCAACTTTTGGCACTAGTCGCAATCTAACAGCTGTACAGCTAGCACGTGTTTCTGCTTAATCAGCATCTTTAATTTTTCCTCCCTCTCTTTCTCACATCTAGACAATCAACAAAACAATACATCAAGCCCTGAGCTGTCCTGGTTGCCAATTTCCATAGTGTAAATATTCCCACCACAGCTGCTTTCCAGCCACCAGGTTAAAACCACTGCAAATGGAGTAGAAAGATTGTGTAACATTTGCACCATACAGATATTAGTACAGCAGGTGCAGGTAACCTCAGGAGCACAGGTAATAGCAAAATGTGGTTTAAAAAAGGGTAAGGGATGAGTACTTGTCACCTTTGTTTTTAATATAACATTTAATTGTAAATTGATACAATTCAATTTTTAATAGTGGCCGTGTTTAGCAACCAATTCACCAGTTTCCTGAAAACATGACAATCGGTTTTTTCAAGCTATGCAAGCTGGCTCCAGCACACCCCTGCGTGGGGGCCACACAGCAAAGATTGTCACCAAGCCAGGAAGGAAGGCCCTCTCTTCACAACTACCCAGAACCCATAGTGTCTCTGGCACTGAAGTGGGAAATTTGGGGGTTTCCTGAGACGGCACCAGGCACGCTGGTGAGCTCAGCTGGGCAGGGAAGCTTCTCCAGGCAGCCTTAGGGGTGAGAGGAAAGACAAATAGGACAAGAAACCAGTTCGTCAGCACATGTGACATAGCCCTTTGGAGCTCCCAGAAAGAACCGGGGACCCCGGGGGGGGGGGGGCCGAGGTTCCGACAAGGAGCAGGTGAGGACCCTGCCCCCGGCAGGCAGGCGTCTGGGAGTCACGCAGCACGGACTCTGGACTGAAGGCCACACTGTGCTTTCAACAGCTCACTGGGCGTCTCAGAAGCTGCATGGCCGCGGACTTGTCACCACTCACATCCCTAATGGTGGCACTCCAGGCCGTCAGTCCTTCCCCAAGCCCACCCTCACTCTAGCCTGCCCGGCGCCTTGCCCGACCGCCCTGGGGAAGCGGTGGCGGCTTCTCCTCCTCGCTAGACGGGTGTCTGACCCTCAGACCCCGCACCCAGGTCACAGCTTAAGTGCTCTTCAACCAAAGTCACAAAACCAGAGTTGCAGAGAGATTTTGGAGAGGTTCTAAAATAACTCCTTTGTTTTCTAGATGAGGAAACCGAGGCCGAGAGAAGGGAAATGACTAGCGAAAGGTCACAAAGAAAAGCCAGGGTGCAACTGGATAGGGTGACCGGCTGTCCGGGTTTACCTGGGACTGAGCTGGGACCACAACTCAGGTCTCGACTTGTCCTCAAAACGGGGTGGGAGTGGGGGTTGTAGGGGTGGGTGCTGAGCCAGTCCCTGAAAGAAAAGTACAGAGCTGCTCCGCAATGGAATTTTCCAAAGGAAGAGAAGAGAGGAGGCCACCTCTGGGTGCTGGGCCCTTTACCTCTGGCCCGATGCCCGGCGCCCTAGGGATTTCCCACCTGCTATGGCCTTGCCCTGCTTCCTGCATCCTCCTGCTCTGTGCCGGTGCAGGGGAGGCACTGGCCGACTGTATCCGCATCTTATCTCTGGCTGCTGCCAGCCACAGCTGCAGGGATGCATATGCAAATAGCCTGCAGTGATGCCAATATGCGATTCCCTCGGGGAAGGCATGTGGAAAGCACCATAGGAGTTTCACAATTCTGTTTCATCCAGAGGAGTTGCGCGCCCAGAATGATTCGAAACAGATTTTTGAAAAGGCAACATAAAATTGGAGCAAAACCTGGTCGAGGCATGTGCCACTCTCCCTGCACCCAGCACTCTCCACCCTGACATGCAAACCCTCTTCTCCCATGCCCCAGGAGCCCCCGCCCAAGGCAGCACATCTAGGAAACTGCATCGGGCACTCGTCACCCAAGCCTGGAGCCCCGGCCCCATCCCAGGGCACGTGCCCTCGACCTGACCGGAGGGTTGAAGGATGCCTGTCGGGTGTCGGCCTGTCGCTTCTCTGCCCAGCCCCTGCCTCGCTCCTGTAGGTAAGGCTCCCTCCACACTGTCTTCCCCTTCACCCCGAGTCCTGGGATGGATAATTGCAGAGCCATGGAATACAGAATCCAGACGGCCGAGGTGGACAGGAGAGTTTAGCCAAATTAAAGTCAGAAAGACCTGGGTCTGCCATCTCTGCCGCTGATGGCTGTGTGACCTTGGGCAAGTCACTTCGCTTCTCTGAGACTCCTGTTTCCTGGGTGTACGATGAGGACAATAATTCCCACCCCACGGGGGGCAGGGGGGGTGTTGTGGGGACTCCCTGAGCTAGTGCTTCAAAAATGCCGGCACAGTGCTGGGCACGGGGCACATGCACAAGAAATAAAACAGCTGTCATAGCAAGAGTCTCTTAAAGACCACCAGTTTCAACCGCTCCATTTTAGAGACCGACAAATAGAGGCCCAGGGAGGGAGAAGAACTTGGCCAAGGCCACACAGCGAGACACTGCCTGCCGCCCCACCTCAGCCTGCAGCGGTTGGCTGCTCCTGCCTGGGGAGCTCCAGGTGTGATGCGAGGAAGCGCCCAGCCCCCTCCAGAGTGCGTCCCTCCGCAGCGCAGGCGGCACCAGGGAGCACATCGGCTGTCACTTCTCACTCACCATCCAGCGGTCCAGGGTCCCGTCACGCCGTCCTCCTGGCAGCTGCGTCGCCCGTCTCGCGCCGCCCCTGCGCCCGGCACCGAGCTAGGGCTCAGCACAACCCATCGGGACGCGGGGCGCCGGCCTGCGCGCGGAGAAGGTCGCCTCTGGGGCCCTGCGCCCCGTCCCGCTCCGGGCTGCGCGGCGCCGATAGCGCAGCCCGCTCTTATCTGGCCGCGCCAGGGCGCAGGCGGCCGGGGCGCGCGGGTTCCGGGAAGCCCCCGCCGCCCCCGATGCTGCCCGCCGCTCTGCACGCAGCCGATTGCCCGTCAGCGTCGCCGAGCCCCGCCGGGAAGGGCTCCATGCTGGCCCCCGGCGGGCGGGGCCCCCGCCCCCGCCGTCCCTCCCCGCACTCCCATTTTGGCACGGGACTGGGAGACGCAGCTAATTTCAAGTCCGCACGGCGTTTGTGGTCGTGTCCTGAATCTTCCGCGATTAATCACAGAGCATCTGAGTCCCACTTCGCCTCGGAGGGGGGTGGTGGGACGCCTGGAAGTTTCTGTTTACTCCGCTGCTGCGCAGGGCCCTGTGCTAATCACTAACAGGCAGGACGGGCCACCTCCTCCTCCAGGCTCTCCTCGCTCTTCTTACCTTGCCACCTTCCTCGCCCTCACTCCCCTCTGCCCCCTGTCTCCCCTCCCCCCACCCAGCCCCTCTTCCTCTGTCGGGCTCTGGCGTTGCACGCCCCTCCGGGCCCTGGCTTTCCCCAAGCCCCCTCTCCTCCCTGCGCCTCCCGCCGCCGGGCTGTGAACTCGCTTGGCCCTTCTCCTTGCTATGGTGAACCGTAGGGCTCCTTTGCTATTTTTTCTTTTCCGTTTTTACAACCTAATTATGTCAGGGTTTGGGGCTGGCCCTCACCCCACACCCTGTTGCATCTGTGCCTGCGTGCAGTTCCTACAAACTTAATGGTGTCTCCAAGGCAAGGGGTGGGGTCCAGGCTTGGTGAGTGAGCGGCTCCTTTTCTCAACGGGCCACATCTCAGCTTTCTGTTTCTGTTCAGGGATGGACCCAGGAACAAAGCACTCATTTACTGCCTCCGGAGGAGGGGAGGCCAGGAGGGGAGGCCAGGGCCCTGCAGCACGTCCAGGGCCTGTGGCACCTAGAGACGAATTCCTCTCTCCCTCCCCTTCGCTTCCTTCCTCCCTGGAAAAGCAGCCAGGAACACTCAGCCCCAGAGAGCGGGAGCTGAAACAACAGCGCTCCCCAGCAAAGCACTCGCGCTCTGAAGGGTGACCGGGAGGCCTCTGAACGCCAGGAACGAGCCTCTCCCGCCAGCCGGCACATGGCTCGTGCGTGTGCACAGGGGGACACAGAGGCGCTTGCTGGGAACCGTCTGTCACAGGAAACCACGGGACGTCACTTGCATATCCCGTTGAATAAAACGTGACAGGGTGGCACAGTGGTGCACCAGGCTGCAGTTTACAAAGTGCTGTATCTGTGTGTAACAACAGACAGGGGTCTCCAAGACATGGTGCTGAGTGAACAGGGATCAGAATGAGACATCCTGTATATCCCGATTGTGTAACACCCCGCCCTTACACGTCTGAGATCAGACACCACATAAAACACGCTGCGTCGTAACCTCGGGGAGAAGGGTCTGGGGTGGCGCTCTTGCCTATAATCACTTCATTTCTAACGATGAAAATCAGTCTATTACTTCTGTCCCAACCAGCTTCCTGCTTCAGAGACACTGCACCCCCTAAGGGGAGGAAATCGCACCCCAACCATTTGCCTCCTTGGACTAACTCAAAGAATTCTACAATAGGCCAGGTCTGAAATAAACAGCATTTCTTAGTGGTGAGCCCAGAAGTTCTACAAACACTCTAGCTTGAATCACCTCTGGTTAGATGGAGCCAAGAGTGATTTACGACAGAGTGAGATGCCTTCAGGGCAGGAGAGTGTCCTGGTGACTGTGTGGTGGGCTGAATTCTTTCTCCCAGAATTCTCCCAGAAGCAAGAGCAGCAGACACGTGTTTGGAAGGAGGGTACTGGGAAGCGATGACTTGGTTTGGGGAAGCAACTTACTGACTCTAACTTACAAAACGTGAAAAACGTTGTGCAGCATTTTTAAGGAATGAATGTGAACAAGTCCAGACGCTATGCAAAGGGTGGTTGAGGAACACAGTTTCAGTTCAGCCACTTCCCACCTGCTCCTTCGCTAAATGCAGGGCTACGGGCATCTCGCTGGCCGGACAGGCACGAGGCCAGTGTGTCGGTGACAAGGTGCTCGCCCACGAGCTGTCCGTAGGATTCCCCAGGGTGCTCTTTCTTCACTTGTCAAAAGCCTGCCGGGTTTGGAGCACAGCCGGGGGACTTAACCATGGAGAAGACAAGGGACTTTCCCCACAGCCCCCGCCAGTCCAGTGGGGGCACCCCCAAACTCAGGGCGGAAGGAAACTCCAGGTTTGGAGCCCAACGGAGTCAGAGCCTGGGTGTCCAGCCACCTGCGATGGGCATCGCTCCACCACGCAGCTCCCAAAGTGAGGCTCCCGCAGGGCCCGCACCCAAGCTGACTTTGGGTGACTCGCAGACCGAGCACCAAACAACACCGAATCTCATGGCGGGAAGGTCATCGCTGTGGCAACGCTCATGAGCTGGTCTGTCCTTAACACCTCTCTAACACGGGCTAGTGTCCCTTTGTCGCAGAGAGAAAGCAGGCCCTGGGCTTAGGTCACTCAGCTGCTGACAACATCTAGCTAGAAGTGTGTTTGGCAAGTGGCAAAGGTTTTCCATGGACGCTTCTCTAGCTTCAACTTTTAAAAGTTTAAAAAATTTTAAACTTTATCCACGAGATAGGGAGCTAACAAAATCCTAATAAAGCATATAAGTTTAATTAATAGTAATGCATCAGTATTGGTTCACTGGTTGTGACGAATGTACCACAGTAACGTGAGCTGTGAAGTTAAAGGAAACAGTGAGAGATTAGTGCAAGGTGTATAGGAACTCTTTGTACTCTCTTTGCAACTTTTCTGTAAATCTAAAACCATTCTAAAATAAAAGGCTTATTTAAATATCTTCAATGGGCCCAGAAAAACAATAAGCCCATGTTGGCTTTTTTTTTGTGTGTGTATACGTGGAGAGAGAGAGAGAGAGAGACAGCAAATTGTGGCAAAAGTGTTAACAATTGGTAAATCTAAGTGAGGGGGTATATTGGTGGGTTTTGCGCTATTCTTCCAACTTTCCTATAGGCTTAAAATTTGTCAAAATAAAAATTTGGGGGGAGCACACACGGATGTAGAGAGTGGGGTGATAGACAATGCAGATTCGGAAGGGTGAGGGGTGGGGGTGGATGACCAGAAATTAGTGAATGGGTACAATACTTGCCATTCCAGTGAAGGACATCCTAAAATCCTGACTCGACCACTACACAGTCTATGCGTGTAACAAAATTTCCCGTGTGCCCCATAAATGTGTACAAATAAAAAAAGTTGGAGGAAAAGTGAATCAATTTAAATACAAACATAAGTACATGAAAGGCCAGGTAGCAAATGGACATGGTCAAAGCTGTCAAGGTGGAAGTTGAGTTGGCATTTGGGGGACACTGGGCTAGGAGGTGGTCTGGCAGATGGCAGAGACATCTGGGGACATTAGGGACCTGGACAGTCCCTAAGCATCCACAATAATGGTCCCTTGCCCCAGAATCTTTGCCATCCGTGAGGGTCCCCTGAGAAGGAGTCCTTGGAGAGAGCAGAGGGCGCTTGAAGGAGCCCGGAGGCGTCTGTAAGCCACGTGGTAAGCCGAGGGCCCCTCTCATCCCTGCCCCTCTACAGCCAGAGGACCCTCCCCTTCTCCCACCCCCCGCCACACCCTCCGAATGTGACAGCATTTCCAACGCTGTCAAAGGCTTCCCACCTCTCTGTCCCTGCCACCCTCACAGCCTCCCAGGGTGTGAACTGGGCAGGGACTGTCATCCCAGGTGCTGGAACAGGGAGGAAACAATCTGGAGGGAGACAGGTGTGTAAATGGAGAGCCACAAAGCCAAGTGCTAAGTGCGGGGCGAGACAGTGTGGAGGTGGCTCCGTCTCTGCCTTTGAGCCTGTGGGGGACGCCCCAGGGAAGTGGGCAGATGAGTGAAAGGAATGGTGGCCTGAGCTTTCTGGGCTGCAGACCTGATCTGGCCCTCGGGGTAAGGCCACGGCTTGAGGCCCTGCACGGCCTTGGTCTCCAACCCCCTCTGGCTCTGCCCCCTCTGATGAATGAACCTCAGTCCCCTCCAGGTGCCAGCCTCTCTTCTGTGGTTCCCCAGCCTGCAACTCTCTCCCCAGAGACCACCTCCATGGTTTCACCTGGTTAATACCTCCACTCTTAACCTGCTAGAATCCAGCTAAGGAGTCACAGCCTCCAGAAGCTTTCTCTGGGACCCCACTGTGGGCGAGGTGCCCTCTACCAGGCACCCTCACCGCCTCACTGTGGCAGAACCAGGTGAGCATGGAGGCCCAGACCCCGATCCTGGCTTCTCTGAGAGCCTCCATTTCCTCATCTGTAAAATGGGCATAACCACAGTGCCTCCTTGCTTTGCTCTGAGCATTGGATGAAATAACTCCTTGCTACTCGATGTGCAGACTACAGACCGGCAGATTAGTGTCCCTGGGAGCTTGCTCTTGCCGCATTCCAGGCCCCGCCCAGACCTCCTGAGCCAGATTCTGCCTGTTAACAGGAGCCCTGAGTGACTCCCGAGCATGCACGGTGGGTTGGAGAAGCACTGAGGCATCACGTGTAAAGTGCTCAGGCCCTGCCTGGCACATGGCTGGCTCTCGTCAAATATGCATTACTGCTATCATCACCATCATCACGGCAGCCTCACAATATTGCCTGCTTTCTCATCCTCCTCCACCTGAGAGGAGAGGAGAGACAGCTGTGGGCACCGTGGCATCCTTGTGCCCGGAGCAGAGTTGGTGCCTGACGACACCGGGTGAATGAAATCATTTGTCTGATTCACATGGAATTGCCAGGCTGGAAGCCAGGCGGCCTCATCCTTTGGACTCATCACTTTCCTACGCCCCAGCATCCTGCCCACAGCAGGGCACAGTCGGGGGAGCAGGAGGGAAGGCCGGGGGATGGTGCTCGACAGGTGGAACAGCCTTCCAGACCCAGTCTCCTGGGTGAATGCCACCGTTTTCCTGAAAATCGTGGCACCAGAGCTTCCCCCTCTACCAACCACATGGACCGTCAGCACTGACGAGCACGTCGGATTCTTCCTGGAGACGAGCATTCTAATCCCCGCTCC